ATGTCACTAAAAACCATGTCAACGAATGTTTTATAGTACATAAGTGTCCTGATAAACATTTTGGGAAAAACAGGGTAGTTATAATTCACTTACAAAAGCATGTTTTCATGAAGGTGATTTCTAAAGCTACTCTCTTGGAAATGGAGATTAGAAAGTACATAGGTGCCATGACTGTCAGCTATTCTTCCTTGACTTCTACCGAAATGAGCATCTTTTCGTATAGTAGTTTCCTCCCATCCTTTACGCTAAGCCTACAAATCAACGAGGGCATGCGTCTGTGAGGGGAAGTACGAAAAAAAAAGAGCTTTACATTGTTCATGGTTATGAGACTTCTCTTTCTCTATGAAGACATAACATTTTAGTAATTATTTAATATTTCTCTGTCCACTGACTTTAAATATATGCTATTTATACCAATATATTTTATACATTTTCTATATTTTTCTAAGCCAGCTTCCAAAGCAATTATGTATAGCAATATGCATTGAGGACATTAATGAAATGAGATATTTCCTTTCTTTTGATAAAAAGATGGTCTAAATATTAAAAACACAAAAACAAACAAACAAAAAAAAACCCAACAAACCTCAGGGCAAAAACTAAGACATAACCACAAGTACAGATTTACCTATGAGTCTAAAATGTGGCTGATTATATTTGTTTTGATTACTTGCCTTCGACCTTCACAACCAGTCAGTTAAGAAGCCCCAATGACTTGCTTTAACATCTCTCCCAGATATCCATTTTGTTCTTCATTCCTCAAGCCAACATCAGCTCAAGCCCACATTACTTAACCAGTCTTTTACCATGGCCTTTCTGATTCCTACAGACAGATCTGTCCCACTCTGGATTTAGAAAGTGATCCATATCAGGATATGCTCTTCCTTAGGGTAGAAGGAAAATGATCATATTTCCTTGCTTATCTATCTCCCCTTCAACAGTTATATTTTCACTTCTTTGCTTATAAGGCTCTGCACCCTCGTCATGCCAGCTACCAACAACGCGGAACTACAAACACGTTCATCAAAATGTGCTGCCGTTAGCACATCTGAGATCCAAGTGTGAAACTGCCAACCCAACGATAAACAAGGAAGACCCACTCTAAAATAATATCAAACCCTGCCAGTTGGCTTACAAAATGATTGTTTTCCACTTGCTATAAATCATATTTTTTTAAGTTGCCTAAATAAACTGCTCTATTACGTACAAAAAAAAAAAAGATAGGCAAGGAATACCTAATCACTCAAGAAGATACAAATAAAAACTAGTCTTGTGACTAATTCTGTTTAAAATTAGAGCTAGCATAAAAAAAAAAAGGAGAGCTTAGTCAAAATTCAGATGATAATATTCTCTCTCTCCCCAGACCTTCTTTAAAATTTTTTCTTCTGCCTTCAGTGAAAACTGACAAAAAATATATCTCACATTGCCCCATGACCTTACCTTGTATTTGGAGAAATTACAACAAACACAGAAGTCTCCCCTTTCATAGAAGTAGGAAGGACATAAATTTGGAGTGGGCAGGAGAAAACAATGATATAACATACACTCAACATTTTTAGAGTTTACTATGAACTCTACAGAAATTAAAACACAATGATAACTTGAGAATGAAATGCATGCAAACCTTTTATTTTTCCTGTTCTTTTTAGCACTTAGCAGTCTATCCTAATATTTTGCTACTTTGCAATACTTGACTTGGCCAAATCTGCTCAGCTTTGAAGTTTTGAGATTATTAAATGCTACATGAAAATGAACAATATGGCTTCTACAAAATAATGAAATACAAGGATTTCAGTAAAGATTTAACAGCTGCTCTATTTAAAGAAATCTAGCTAGATACCATATCCATTTCAGTTCGTAATAATCATCAAAAAATATCCTTAAGCAAGGAACTAGAATTTTAAAGTCTTTTGTAAATGATAAGGTTAATATTATTTAATCATATATTACAAAGAAAAATAACGAGCACATGTATGCAGTATGGCTAAATGTGATAAAGCCAATTAAAGTCTTTATCAAAGTAAAGATACTAAATGTCTTTAATTAAACTAGTCATCTCAATTGAGGGTGTGGCGGGGTTATATAAACGTAATAAAAATCACAGGTCTAATGGCTGAGTTTCTCCCCTATTTCATGCCAGCTGGGATTCTCTGCTTCCAGGCTCATGCTTCAGGCTTGCTGAGTCTTTGCTAATGATAACTTTTTGATGTGCCTGATATTAAACTTAAACCAACTGAGTGTTTTCTAGGGTTGGCTGTTTGGTACATCAGTTTCATACCCCATTCAAGGAAGAAGATGAAATAACATACCACAAACCACTTCACTCAAATAAATATCAAATCTGTGACCAAATTATCATAGGGCCAGAATCTCCAGTCACCCATGCTAGTTCCCTGAATCTTAGCAGATAATCTACTTAGCTTCCAAATAAATATTATTTGTACTGATTTCATTAAGTCAAATTTAACTTACATTATAGTGAGTAAATCGGGGGGTCGGAGGTGGGGAGGGGAACATATCTGCATTTAAATTTTCTATCAGACTCATATAAACTAAAACAACTGAAAAATAATCAACCAAAGTTGGCTAAAATGTATACCTTAAACAAAACTAGACAGACAAGGGAAGTGACTCTACTATGGAAAAAAAATACAATGAAAGATTAACTTTTTTGAAATTTTCAAATAGAGTTGACAATTAGATGACTCAGGCTACAGAAAAAAAAAATTTAAGTCCTAGTGATAAGAGTAAGTTATTTTAAAAATGGGTAGAGTTTTCAATATGTTAAGTGATATTCAATAACAAATTTTTTTAGTATTCTTTCCCTTTAGGCTTTCATTCAAAAGCATATACACCACTCTCTTCATTTATTCCTCCCCTCTTTTTTTAGAATATGTAAAATATATCCCTATTTTGTTCTCTCTGAAATAATTCTTCACACACTTAAGTTTCACTAAAGCTTACTACAAATAATGGAGGGTTGTGAGGGATACATAATAGATTTAAATTTATCTTATGACCTCTAAGATAAAATAAAATAAAATCACTCCATGGACAAAATCATGGGCTTTCCTGGCAACTTCCCCCGACCCACCAAAAAAAAAAAAAAAAAAAA